CGGCCACAGTCTCTTCCTGTCCACTCTCCTCTTGGGATTACCATTGGCACGATTCTCAAGCCTCCATGTCTGGGACTCTAACCACGGAACTGGCCATGTAGGATCCAGCCGCTCAGCCTTCATGCCAACTGCTGGGCCTAAAATTTCCCACTTAAAATAGGGGCTCAGGGGGCCCGCGGGTGGTGTGGTGGTTAAGCTGCTGACTCCCACAGGACCGAACACACTGCGTCTCTGGCAGCTTGCTTTCTCACGTTCTCTCTGGTGAGTACATGTGCCCTATAGCAAATTTAAAAAGTAATAATTTTTAAAAATAAATTATTCTTAAGGAAAAATAAAAATAAAATACGAGCTTAAAGGAGCCAGCAGGTGGCGTGGAGGTCTAGGTGCTGGACTCCTGCATAGTCAACCGCGACTTGCTTTCTTGCTTTCCCTCTCTGAGGAGCACACGTGTCTAACAGCAAATTAAAGAACTACTACTAGAGAAAGCGGGAAAGGCGTGGGGAACGGGCCCCTGAGCACCGCTGGTGGGAGTGCACAATGATGTTGCTATGGGAGATGGTGGCCATTCCTCAAAAAATTAAACAACTGCTACCGACCCAGCAATCCCACTTCTCAGCGTGTGCCCGGAACATACCCACGTTGACAGCGGCATTCTCACCACACACGGACAGATGCAGGGTGGTAGCCAGCCTTGAGGAAGGGGCTCTGACAAGGCGAGGATGAACCCAGCGCACGTGCTGAGCGAGGCAGTCAGTGGACGGGCACTGCGGACCCCACCGACAGGATGTACGTACAGTGGGGCGTCCCAGGGGTGAAGGCAGAGTGGCGGTTTTCCAGGGCTGAGGGGAGGTGGCAAGGGGGTTAATGGGACAGTTTCAGTTTTGAAGACCATCATGTCCTGGAGCTTGGTCACAGAGCAGCGTGAGTATAATGAACACCACTGTCCCGCACACCTAGATGGTTACGTGCGGTCAGCACGTGGCATGGAGGTTGAGGTGCTGGACTTCCACATGGCCGACTGTGGTTCCAGTCTCGGACCTGGCGGTTCAGTTCCTCACTTTCCCTGTCTCTCTTTGGTCAAATGAAAAAAATAGTAATAATGATAAAGTTAAATAAAACAATCTTTTAAAAAATATTGTATTAGCCTAACAAACTCAGTGCAGGAAGGTGGCCTCAGCCCTGACTCTGAGCTCTCAGATCTCTGAGAGCTCCCAGTCTTCCGGCCACCTGACAAGACAGGAAGCCCCTGCAGTAGGTCCTGAGGGCTAAGTCAAAGGGGGTCTAGCCAAGGAAAGCCAGAGGCTGCTCTGCTGAGCCCCTGCCCCGGGGGCCACCACCCCTCCCTCCAGGGTGTCTCCAGGCCCCAGTCTGGCCCAGCACACCCGGCCTCTCCCACCAGCCTCTCCCACCCCATCGGTCTCTGGCTGCCTCCAAAGGGGGTGTGGCTGGGAGGCTGCCTGCCGGGACCCTATGCTGGTCGCGTGACTGTCTACGCTTTCAGACGCCTGGCTCCCCCTCTAGCTCTGTCACCCACGGGGACTGAATCCTACAGAGCCACCAGCGCCCTCTCCCAAATCTGAGAAGATATCCCCAGGGACACCCTTACCCACTTCCGACAGTCACCAGCCCACAGGAAGGTCTTGGGTCTCCCCCAGTGGCCAGCATCTGCTGCTCTGGGCTCCTGGGAGTCTGACAGAGAACACCCACCATCCTGGTCCCAGGTCACCCCATGCCCACACTCTCCCCTCAGTCTCTTACACCTCTCCCTCTGGGGTTTCCAAGGGACTGGGACGCACCCCCTTCTGCTGTAGGAGCTTCCCGTGTGCCCTTCCCCGCTCTCAGCCAATGTGAGCTGCCAGGCATGAGCACTCAGCTCCCTGCAGCACAGGCCGGCCACGGACAGTGTGGATGTGCATCAGGCTGTACCTGCACACTTACTGTTGCACAGGGAGAAAGGAATGGCCAAGGGGTGTCCCTGCTTTCGCAGACTACGATCTGGGCAGAGAAAGGACGGCAGAGCGACGCCCCGAGTATGAATTACGAAGTAACCAGAGCAAGAAGGAAGGGCAGCGTGTGGCTGCAACCTGCGGGGCTCTGGCCAGGCGGGGGCAGCCCACAGTGAAACCCCCCAGCCCCAGAGCCTGGGGGCCTCGTGCGGGGCTGGCAGGCTGTCCCAGGGTTTCCTGCCACATCACATGTTCCTGGTAGCAAGGACCGGGTCTCAGCCTCTGCACCCTGCTCTCCAGATCACTCGGTGTGGTGGGCTCTCGACTCAAGGACTAAACGGCTTTTAAGCTAAATGACTCAGACAAATTCCAAGCATTAAGAATGAAAAGAGCGGACCAGTAGGTGGCGTGGTGGTTAAGGTGCTGGACATTCCCACATGGCTGACCAGGGTTCGAGTCCTGAACCTAGTGGCTTGCTTTCTCACGTCCTCTCTCTCACTCTCACCCTCTATCTCTCTCTGGTCAAATTAAAAAAA